AAGTTCTACATCGTAAAATTGTTAACCTATGAGGAGAACCTGTCCGCGTCCATGGACCGTGACGATGAAATCATGCGTGACATCCCTTATCGTATACAAGTCTTTTGTTTTCCCAGAATGTGTCATTTTACCAACATTTCCTTCGTCTCGCTTTTCATTTTCCTCATATCAGTCACATGTTTGAAATTTCCCTTCTTTTGCTGAAGAGCTACTTTCATTTTCGTTGGCGGGAAATTTTCGAAATTTTATAAACATAGGTTCAATTCGTATTATTAATTCAACGATGTAATTCTACGTAAAAAATAAACAATTATACAAACTAAAGACTTTCAAAACATGAACTTTATTACGGATTTTACTAGATTATAAATTCAATGGTCTAAATATAATAAAAATGTGAATGGAACTCTGTAAAATTACGCTTTATTTGAATAAAAACTTTTCCGACTCATGTTCCATTTTTTTTAATCATCACAAAAAATTACATTTAGACGACAGGTGCTTGAGGACAGGACCCCCCCCCCCCCCTCCCCCAATATAGACCCCCGGACCTGTAAGACTTTTTTCACGTAAATTATATATGGATGACACATTTGTGATATAATCTATCCTATAAATTCAGAAAATTTGCTTAAACTTACATTTATCAAAAATATCTACCCTCTCTATATATTAATTAACAAGGTTGCCAACTTCGTCTGCAAACCGAGAGACACTGCGAGAATTTTGGTTGAATTGTCTCATAAATCTAAATAAAGCCCTAAAATCAACAACTCATATATTGTAGATTGAATATTCTTTTCATTAACCACAACTCTCGAAAGGATGTCAGGCAACAGTCAGCGTTTTTGCTTAGTGAACGGAAGTGACGAGGAAACGACTTTTTACCAAAATACACAGTTCTGCAGAAAGTCTGAGACACTGTTTTGAAGTAAACTTTTGAAGAAACTTGGTTGTTATACACTTTAAAAAATGTCTTTCAAATGTATTGGGAGAATAGAGTTCAAAACCGCTGATGCAAATGAAATGTCTCTAATTATTTTTCAAATACCTGATTTGCATGTTAGAGTTATACCCTTTTAAAAATGCAATTTATAAAACATCTTCTTTTCCTTAAATATTTGTGTAAATCTATACCCAGATAGCAAGCTGACGTTGGGCCGATGTTGGCATATGGTTGGTAGATCGGCTACATATCGCGGTTGGCAGAACGATATTGGGCCAACATCGGTCCGACATTGTCATTACAACAGTCGATGTATTGACATCGTTCCAACATCGGTCCGATATTGTAATTACAACAGTTGGTGCATTGACATTGTACCAACATCGGTCCGATATTGTCATTACAACAGTTGGTGCACTGACATTGTTCCAACGTCGGGCCAACATCAGGCACGTAGCATCGATTTTGAAAGGGGGTGGCGCAACCACAGAATTTTTACTTACCTGAAAAAGTTGACAAGCAAAAGGGCGGGAGGGGGGGGGGGGTAGTGGCCAACTTAATTTTTGGGGAAAAAGTTGGGGGATCAGCCCCCCCCCCCCCCCCCCGGTTGCTACGTGCCTGAACATTAATTGTCATTTTAAAATTTAATGTTGAAGTATGGACATCTTTGTAATGTTGGCCCGACATTGTTGAACCAACTTAAATGTTGAAACATTAAAAAATTATTTTATTATTTATTTATTTATTTATTTTTAATTATTTAATCCTTACGTAGATTTTCAAAAGTTTGGAAAATAACTTAGATTTTTCTCTAAAACTATCGACATGTGTCCTTGAATGAATAATTGCTTCTGCTACTATTCCTTAGTCAGGACATTACACATAAAATGTCTGGCAGTAAAATCGTTTGAGCAAGTGCTATTTCAATTTTGTTATAATATTTTAACACCTCTTAACATCTCTCATAAAGATTGATTTCAACCCGAACTTCCTCGTTTCGGATCGATTCAGGAATTTTAGTGTTCCTCTATTCAACATTTACAGAGTATGTTGTTCATTGTAATAAAATATATTTATTTTTAAATGCATGTTCAAGATCATTTTCAGCACTTATTTTGAATATTTAAATAGTTGCATGCAGTGGACTGTGCCCGAGACGATTCCCACAGCGCCAATGAATAGTCAGCTTGTAAAAATGGTGAGAACCGGCTCAAATTTTCAAAACTATAAAGATATTGCATCTAATATATACCAAGTAAACAAGAGGTTTATTTTCTTAATTTCCTTCTCCAAAGAATACATAACAATGGATTCTGACCGGTAATCTAAACATGCTATAAATTGCACAACTATGCAAAATTATTTTACATAAATACTTAAGTATTTAGATAGCTATCATATTCTATGATGCACAATTATACATGCATTATTTACAGGAATCTGAATGCTCACAAGAAGGACAAAACTAGTATGAAAATTAACACAAAGGTAAGATTTCTTAAATTTTCTGATTAAAGCAATAAAATCACATGAATTGAAATTACATGTATCAATAATCTTATCTTATTTAGTGTAAGTCAGGCATAGAGCTTTAGCTCTAACCTTTTCCTGTAGCTCACCTGAGCCATTTTAAGGTCAAAGCAAGTTTTCTCATCAGTGTCTGGTATTCGTCTGTCATCTGTAAACTTCTCATTTTTACATTTATCAGAATTTATCCTAATTTGAACCAAAAAAAAAAAAACCAAAAACACTGCAAGATAGTAAATTTCTATTCTACTCTATACTGAACTGTCAGGTTGAAATAAACTATTGTCTTTAACAGACTTGTAGAGCCTAACTTTATTATTTGTAATAAATATGCGAAAGATATCGATGATAATACATCCTAATGGTCATCTTTTGTTTCAGAAATTGTGCCAGAAAAGTTTGAAGTGTCTATGGGAATGATCAACATTGACCTTTCTGAGCCTTTCTACTTAAAGTGAATCCGTTCGTGACATGACTACCCTCTAACATAATGCCATCTTTTATTTATTTACTATTGTGAATTTCATGGGATATCAGTGAGGAAGTGATTCAAGCAGACACTTGAGAAATTTCGAATCTAACTTAAGTAGGATCTTTGGCATATTCGGGGAAAATAGCATGTGTTGATTTTATGATTTTATGGGATATTTTTATTAATAAAGTTGTGTAGTGGATATTTTGTACTTAATACATCTGTTTGTCACTCTAGTCTAGTCATTAACTTTGTACGGTAAATCACCGTAAATGTACATGGGCAACTGGAAGTTCATTGTAACTGTATACCCCGTTGAGGTTTCAATGACCTCTCCCAATGTCATTAAGTCAAATGCCATATTTTAAAAAAAAGAAACAGTTTGTTTTATTACAACGAAAAGTCGATCAGTGAGAATACTTTTAAAAAATGTGCTTATTTTGTACATCTACAAGTGTATATGTAATATTTGTTTCAAAACACATTGTAAAAGAAACTATTTTTTTAATTTTGAAAATATAGATTTGATCTATGATAAATTTTGATGTAATCATTATTTCAGTTTTCATTGTATCTTCCTGGGATTTCTTAGATTTCCATGGAATACCATAGATTTCCAACTATCCTTGTGCACAATATGTTGGGCCAACATTGGGCCATTATCAGAATTATCATTGTATGACATTGGGCCAACGTAGCGCCAACATGTAGGAGCACAAATACGTTGGGCCTACATTGGGCCAACATCAGAATAATCATTGTATGACATTGGGCCAACGTAGCGCCAACATGTCGGTGCAACGTTGCGCCGATGAGCAAAACTACATTGGCCCAATATAAATTTTCCGACATTGGGCCAACCTAACTGCCAACAGTGGCCCAACGTTGGACCAATGTCAGAATTATCGTTCTATGACACTGGGCCAACGTTGCGCCGATGAGTAAAATTACATTGGCCCAATATCATTTTCCGACATTGGACCAACGTAACTTACAACGGTGGCCCAACATTGGGCCAACGTAAGCTTGCTATCTGGGTACCCAGATAGCATGACTCCGTTGGGCCAACATTGGTTCTTGGTTGTATGGTTGGTAGAGTGTTGGCGTTGGGGAACAGATGTAGGCCCAACGTTGGTCCAACGTTCATTTACGTTGGCATGAAAGCTAAACCAACGGTGTTGGGCATGTGATGTTGGCCCAACGTTGGTCCAACGTTCATTTTCGTTGGCATGAAAGCTAAACCAACGGTGTTGGACATGTAATGTTGGCCCAATATTGGCCCAATGTAGTAACATGTTGACAAGAACTACAGCGACTTGGTGTTGGACATTAAAATGTTGGCCCAACATAGGTCCAACCGAGTAAGTGTTGACATGGATCAAGACCATTGTGTGTTGATGAGTATGAAATGTTGGCCCAACGTAGGTCTAACTGAGTACATGTTGACACAAAACATTGCCACTTATTGTTGGTTATTCAATATTGTCCCAACGTTGGTCCAGCTTAATAAATGTTGACAATATAATGATTCATTGCTCTGTGTTGGGCGTGCTGGACTGAACTGGAGTTGGTCCAATAGTAGGAATATTGGGATTACTAGTACATGTACAGGTAGCCTGTAATGTTTGAGATGAAATGCTGGTCCAACGTTGGCCCAATGTTGCGAAAAGTATTCATCAGTTTAGGTTTATCTATTGTAAATCGATGGTAATGATATAAGCAACTCATTATAAACATGTGATCTATATTATATATTGAATGGAAAATATGAGTCAATCCTTTTAAGTCTGTGAATTACATATAGTAATTTTGTATCTTGGTAGATTCTATATTTAGCATCATTGAATCAAATTTAAAGTGCTGTGCTTTGCATGTTTTGGGCTCCAAAATAAATAGACCACTGGTGAAATTCACTGGCTCGGCAGGTGACTCATAGGTCTCCAAGGAAACCGTCATCTTAATCAGTTTTTTTTAAACCGCGCCCTTGAACAATGCAAAGCGTGTGTGTCTGTTTAAGTGAACGCAAGAATTTTAATCCTTTCAATTTAAGTATAGCTTTTGTTTTTGTTATTGAAATAATTAATAATGTGAAATGCACAACATTGTAATAGCCTGCATGTAGGCTTTCAAATTATTGGTACCGGGTAGCTGATTAAACAATTTTAATTGATGACGATCTTAATTTTTATAGGAATTGGCGGGCTTGAACAAAACAGATATGTCCGGATCTGTAAGTGAACGCAAGAATGTTAACCAGTGAGATGTAAGTAACTATTTTGTATTTATATTAATAATTAACAATGTGAAATTCAGTCTTAAGGATTGCTTTAAAAATATGTGTGATGCTGATGAACATTTGAAAATACTATTTTAATTGATGACAATCTTAACGTTTACAGGAAATGCCGGGATGGAAAAACCCTCTTCACTCTGAGACTATTGATGTGACATTTTCTGTATATGGAAGGGACTGATTTATATGTGTGGGAAAACATGGATTCTAAGAACAAAAAACAACAGAAAAAGTGATAAATGATTCAAATATGACCTTTCAAAACTGTACAATTAGAACTTGAAGACTCTTATATCAAAGCGATATTTAGTAGTGGACATAGTGATGTGGAATGTACTTGAGAAACCTTGAACTTTCTACCTCTTCCCTCTTTTAGTTACATTCCATGGAATACTTTAATGAAAGTGAAAGTGGCAAAGAATACATTGTGATACATTTTAGGAGGAAAAAAGTATTTGACCAAACATGGTGAAATTAATTGTGTCATATAATCTGGGAAATAAAAATTACAGAATTTAATTAATTTTGTAACACATTTGTATTGAGGAATAATTGTGCCAATGATATTCAAGAAACAGTTTTGTATCAACGTTGAATCAACGCTGAACGTTATAACTATATTTTGAACTGAGGTCCAGTGTAGGGCCAACGTTACAAAATATTTGGTTACTTAGCATTGGTACGTTGGAATAGCGTTGTACCAACGTTGGCATTTCAACAAAAGCGTTGGACCAACGTCGGACCAACGTTATGATTATATTTTGAACTGAGGTCCAACGATGGGCCAACGTTACAAAATATTGCGTTGGCGTTGGTATGTTGGAATAACGTTGTACCAACGTTGACAAATAAACAAACAGTATTGTACCAACATAGGCCCAACATGTTGGGCCAACGGCGCGCCAATGAGCAGTAGGACATTGGGCCAACGTAAATTGCCAACATTGGCCCAACATAACCAACATTGTTAGCCCATGTTGGGCCAATGTCCTCATGCTATCTGGGATAAACGTTTGAAAATAAAATTTTGATGAAGAATTCGTACAAAAAAAACAAGAATATTTCTATTGTTGATATTTTACACGCATATTTGGGTATATGGGGAACATCGGGAATTAGTCCTCTCCACATTACTTCCGTTCAATAAGCTTTTTACGGAGCTGGCAACCTTGTTGATTTTTATATAGAGAATGTAGGGTAGATCTCATAGAACATTTGTTTTAGGTAATTTTTCGATTTGCTGGGATAGATCTTATCACAAATATGGCAATGAAAGATTTTTTATGAGAAAAAAATTGAAAAAGCCCAGGGGTCTATATCGAAGGGGAGGGGGGTCCTATCCTCAAGCACCTGTGATTTAGACGACAGACAGATAGTTTTATTCACAACAATGATATGAGCTATGTATCTGATTTTTGGGAATATACCGCGATACAATGGAACCCGCGATACAATGAGAATCGAGTATACATAAACTCTAGAGTTTATGTATAGGTGTGGTAGGTCTTTTTTAACGATAAGATTTCTGTGAAGTCGATATATCTATGGATTGACGGAAGGAAAGGGCTGCTTTTGTTATATTATTTTTTTTATAGAGATTGACAAAACAAAATTTGAAAATAACGAAACAATTAGCTATAGACCACAAGCTAGTTTCCTCTTTTAAATTAATTAATTAATTATTTACCGGCCATCAGGAGGCGGTCGGTTATTTGATATGAAAATTTAAAGTCGTCGCGCGTTTTCTGATAAAAAAAATTGTAACATTCATATATTAATAGAATATTAAAAACGGGATGTTTAAATGTTTAACAAGATATGCACAACAATCATAAAATTAAAATTTTGCAAATAAGGGGTAAATGTTTCATCCGATCCTGATTGACAAACTCTGACATAACTATAAGGTGCGGAGACAAAGGCACACGTGTTGGGCATGGTCTAAAGCAAAGTCTGCGTGATACAGGATACAAGTATGTACTTATAGTATAACCAATTTTACTTTCTCTATTTAAACAGAATTCGTTGAATATATCTTAAAATGCCGTGTATATATATACATTTCCGAAAGAAGTTTTCCAAATGATTAAATGACAATTTTATTATCAGACAAAATATTACGAGATTTTGCTCCAACAGACAAGGATAAAGCGTGTTCTACAGTAATACAGTATGCCAAGTCTTTTCCCGCCACATCTCGCACAAAAGAGGAGAAATGTAGTGGCGGATCTAAAGGGAGTTGGGGTGGTGGTTAACATCCTCTGAGAGTGAGCAAAGAGCCCCACATATTTGTTGCGTTTTTGTTAAAGTAAAACTATAATTATATCTCTGTGGCTAAGATAAGTTTAAACTTATGTTTTAATCTTTAAATGTTTAAACTACTTTAAAAACATCTAACTTTCGCCAGATCTAATTCGTTTGTACCAAACTCTGTATGGAGACGCAGGGGACTATGGGTAGTTTGCTTACATATGTAGTAATGTACATAATTGTATTATGTATTGAAGAATATCCTGTAATGTCGCATGCAAATGTTCATTGTCACAGGACTATATCAATTAACAGATAAATATACGATATTTTTATAACATGAAGATCTAGCATTCCAGTTTCTAATTGCTTCATTGAAAGGACCTGTTAAATTGGTTTTCGGCCGATTTTGATGCTTGCTTCTGTTTCTTGTTGTTCTCTTATATTAATTTACACATATAGACTTGAAATCAAATTAAGCTGTTGCAACTGTGTTTTCTTTCATATAAAGTAGATCCTAATATTGAAGGCATTGTTACGCATTACCAACCATTTACAGAATTATAAATAGTTAAAAATTATTGGATTTGAGCATAATTTTTTCCCAGATCGGACGATACATCAAGTCGACCATATAATGTATATAAGCTATTCTGAGATCAGCACTACGTCGTTATTTTACAGATTATTTCCAAAATCGATAATATTACATGCGCGGATCTAGAGGGGGGTTCCGGATCCCACCCCCCTGGAATATGCAATTAGGTTATAAATTCATATGCTAAAGCAAGTATAAAGTGACCTTGGACCCCGTCTGGAAAACGCAGACCCCCTGGAAAACGCGGATTTCTGTTAAATTGGAATGAACAGTCGGTGGTTTGGATTATAAGAAGTCCACCCCCTCCCGACGAAATAAGTTTTAGACGTTTGGGCAAGTTTACGAATTTTTTTTTTGTTTGATTGTTTGGTTTTTTTTTTTGCTTGTCAATTAAGTTGTTTTTTTTTTGGACTGGGGTGGATCCCTCCCCTGGAAAAATTTCCTGGATCCGCGCCTGTATTATGCATTTTGGAATCTTCAAATTGTACTTAACACAAGTCTATATGCTGTTACATACCTGATCATGTGATCAAGTTTAAGCCAATCAGACAGGATGAAATAAGAGTAAGTTCACAAGTAAGTTACAGACTCCACTTCACGACTCCACTCCACTCCGCTTTTTTCCCCAAGCCGTTTAACAGTCTAGTCGAACCCTCAAACGGGGGTAAACGGAAGTAGGAAAACCGTATCTTCAAACAGGGGTACACGCATGCGCAGACACTCAAAAAAGTGCCGTTTTCACGGAAAAACGTTTGGTCCACAAAATATGCTCGTGCAAAGTGATGGATTATTTCGTAGCTCTGTGTGTACTCAAATTTGATAGATTAAAGATGTTTAAAGAAATTGTATTGCGAAAAAGTTTATGTTTATTGCAAAAATCGAGATTTTTTCTTTCCCAAAGTTAGCGTATTCTGTGCCTTGACCTACATGCTTGATACAACTAGATTTTTTTATTTGTAGAGTTATTAATTTCCGAGCATGTAAATCCTAAATAATTAATATTCCATCCACAAACACTACTATATATTCCTTTTCTCTCAAATGAAAACACGGCGTAAAGTTCACAATTTATTAATGGCGATAAATCCAAAGCATAGCATATAAACAAAACAAACGAGTGACTTGGTCAAAACTTTCCTAACTACTCCTGCGTTTTTACAATATTTCCTCTTTTATACTGAAAAACTTACTCCTGACGCAATAATCTAACTCCTCTTTCCAAAATAACTCCTCACTGGGAATACAAATACAAAGTCTAGGTCAGTGCAGAGGAGTAAATGAAATAAATAGGTTACTGAATTACAAGTTAGCTAAAATAATGAAATACCGCAGTTAACTTTAAATAATTAAACAGTTTATACAAAATAATATATAGACATAATATGAATAACTGTAAATCTGCTACACTTCCCCCACGCAAGTTTTGTGAATATTGTACTCCTCAGATGGCTTAATCATTGTATTGACCTCAAAACACAACAATAATTGTATAGTATTCAATCTCAAAGTTTATAATACAATACAAAATTAGAGCAGAGCAAACATGGACCCCCGAAACATTAGAGGTGGGATGAGGTGCCATGGAGGAGTAAACTTCCCCTGCCGACCGGTCACACCCACCTTGTGCTCCTTGTCATCAGAAAATAACGGAAAAATCCGTCGTCAATTCAGTGTATAAATAATGGACTAACAATTGGTATGAAAAGCGTCAGTCAGCATTTGACTCAGTGATAATCTGTATTTGCTGACAAGGTCATTGTATCAACAATAGAACTTACGAAATGATGACTTTGAACGAGACTGCTGATATTCTTGTTTCGTCAACTTGCTTGTCAATAATTTACCTTGTTTTAGAAATTGTTCATACGTAGAGCATGATCTGGCGTATCGAATCAACTGAGATATATATATACTCTGTATGCAGGTGATGAGGGTATATTGCTGCATAAGTATGGGAAGTTGACGATGGAAAAGTTAAAGTCATCACGTTTATCATATAGCTGGGTTGTTAGATTACCATTAGTGTCTTTTTCAAGTAAAATATCCAAGTATGAAACAGAAATGTCAGACTCTGTCGTATCTTTTATCTCAAGCTCACCAGGATATATCATATCGACGTAGGAATGGAAATTACATTTATATGGAAACGTATATTGCTGGTGGAAGATTTGAAAGAGTCGCAGCAGATATAGCCGGCCCATTTCCTAAAACTGCAAATGACAATGTATATATTTTAGCTATATCGGACTAGTTTACAAATTTTGCGGAGATTTTTCCTATACCGAACATGGAAGCAAAAACAACAGCTACTGTCTTTTTCCGGGGATGGATTAAAAGATACGGATGTCCATATGAATTTCATAGTGATCAAGGTGTACAATCTGAAAGTTTAGTGTTTCAACATTTGTGTTCAATGCTTGATATTGCAAAAACAAGGACAACTGCATTTCATCCTTGATCCGACGGAGTGGTGGAAAGACTTAACAGAACAATTAAAGAGATGTTGTCGAAATATATAACTGTGAAACAAACTGACTGGGATGATTACATTGATTGTGTTGTGATGGCTTATAACTCTTCAGTACACGACACAACTGGGATTACACCGTACCGCATGATGTTTGGTTCGGAGATGACTGTACCCGTAGATTTACAAACAGAATCACTGAAA